CAGCTGCGAAAGCGATCAAGAATGGGATGTTGATAGTTTCGAGGGTGTTGAATTCAGTTCAGATGCTGAACCCGATGATGAGGAATGGCGTAGATACGTGCGCCAATGTTACAAAAGCGAGGTATGTTACTTTTTGATTATGTGGTAATAATCAAATCTCTGAGATAGATCATCCCTTGGATTGCATATTAGTAGTCTTTGGTGAAATTATCTATCTTTCGGTGGAAGCTAGAGAAAAGCCTAAACCCTTGATTATTACACGATCAGGGTTTCGATGTGGAGTTAGATTACCTTCCGACGAGCTCGACCCGGATTTACTCCGGATTCAATCCAGTTAAACTTGATGAGTATTTCGGACCCCCCAGCCTCACAGGGCGTATGTACATGGACAGAATGGTCAAAGTGGTCATTGAGAAATACAACGAATCAAAGGCTAGTTTTCTCTACACTTCTGCTTCTCATCTCCCAAGAGTTTTGTAAGAATAGATATAATCTGACTTAGAGGAACTACTACATGCATCTTTTTTTGTACAGGGGAAGAATTTGGTGTTGGACCATATTGTGAGGACCGTGGTGAAAATGGCCGTTGGTGTCAAGGCTTATATAACATTCATGGCTAGAGAATCTCCAGAGGGAGAGCTCGTGGAGTATCAAGGCAAAGCTGAATGGAAAGTCTGGCAGAGAAACATCCATCCACTCCTCTGAAGACCAGCCTCCGAACAGAGGAAGAGAGGTGCAAATCTTACTTGACTAATGTGTTGTTTTTTTTTTAACTCTGTTTCGTAATTCTCTTATAGATCCATCTTTTATTAGTTACTCTCCTCTCTAGTTTCATTTGCAGTAGTAGATACATTAGCCAAAGAACAACATATTATTTGCTTTGCTTGCCTCTCAAAATATTTAGTTTCGAAGTTCATTACTCGACACACTTTGTCTGTGATTAGTGTACACCGCTTTGATTCACTAAAATTGTGTGTTTTTGTTTTCACTGATGCGCAGATTGATGACGTAGAGCCTTCTATTGCCACCCATGATATTGTCGCTGAGAAGAAAAAAGAAGAGCCTTCAATGAAAAAAAAAAAAAAAAGCCTATTCACCCATGTGCTATTGTAGTGGATTATCAACTTATTTATATGTTTATGTTATTCACAACGACATATATGTATATCAGTAATGGAATGAGAGAGAGATAATTGTTTATTAAATATTGACCTCCTTAGTGGCTTGGAATTCATTATCAAATATGAAAAGACACGACTACAGGCGATTGATGTAGCTTTTCCTAATGAATTCCGGATTAGCATTTTCTTTTATCTTGAACTCCCATTTTTCATGATGTCCCGTACCTCCAGGCTAATTTATTTTCACATAAAAAAAAAAAAAAAATCAGATATTATTTTACTGAGCAAAATATTGACTCTAGCTACTATATCAGTAAAGGGAATCTGATTACCTTGTTGCTTCCAGAGCTCTTGACAGTGAGTAATCCATCGGATTTGATACGAGCAACAGCTTTTTTTAAGTTGCTAAGCTCTAAGGTTGCAACTTTCTTGTTCACTTCTTCTGGCTTCAAATGTTGCACAAGGTCATCACGCATGAATTCCAAGAAGGATTTGATATCTTTGAGGCTGATGATGTTGTATATGGCCTGGAGAAGACGTGCCAATGCCACTGCCCAACAGATTTCTGAAACGGATTGTAATAATTTTAATTAATGGAATTAGATCGAATTTACACACACTATATTTACCATTTGAACTTGA